AAAAATTTGGAAGAACTAATAATGCACTGACGCACACAAAAATCAAACGAATACTAAATTTCATTTACCAAAAGCATTCGATAGTCGTGGCTCAACGATAACCATTTAGTCGCACGGCGAGGTTGTCACATATGCTTTAGTATACAAATGAATGAATGATTTTATTCCAATAAAACCATTCGATAGTTGAAATCATTCATTCAGAAACCATTCGATAGTCTAATTCATTCGATAGTTCCCATCGCTAATTAAAACTGCATAAGTCTATTTCACCCGGATATGGATTGAACTGCGATTGCGCCAAACTCCGATTGATTGTTGTTTTAGTTTTGTTTGGATTACTTTTTATTTGTGCGCGTAAAAGAGTTTAAAATTTTGTTTAGTTTATTGTTTCCAACTATTTGTTGATATTTTTCCAACTCCATGATAATGTGTTATAAATAATAAAAATATAAATAAAATTGAAGGTTAGGTGTGAAATGTCAGTCAACCACTTCCCTTTAAAAACATCGACCAATGAAAACTTCTTCAGGTGAGGCATGCGCAGTTAAATGAATATCCGGGTGAAATACACTTATGCAGAATTCCATATTGTTCTTTCACTGTTTGGGCTTCACTTTTTGGAGATTAGGCTGAGTATATTTGTAAATAATACGTATATGCTGAAAACGCGCGACATGTGGGGCCACTATACGCACTCCTCTCCGCCGCGCGCCGTACGCTACGCTATGCTCTACGCGTCCAGTTATGTTTGGCCGCGGCCGTAGACACTTAAATTTAGGATAAAAATGGTTAAGTTAGTTATAATGGAATGATGTGAAAAAAATATTTTTTTTGTCTGGGTAGGCCTTTTTGCCTACATTATATGCACGCCACTGGTAAAGTGTATACTCTTTTGTATGATAAATATTGGATGCGTTCAGGGTGCATCCATACTATCCTAGAAACAGCGGAACGGCTATGGGAACGGCGTATCGGCGTAATGACCTTGAATAGATTTCCAGTAATTTCATGCATTACGATATTCCCTAAATGGCACAAAGCAGCAGAAAGAACAAGAAACAGTAGCTGTCTCATGCGCTCTCTGTCTAAAAATTTGAGAGAAATATAAATAAATCGTCTTCGTCAAATCGGTATATAATCGTTCTTTAGTCTTTAGAATAAAAATTATTTTGAAAAAAAGATTATTACTGGCATAATAATTGGAAATATATTATTTGACAATACAGTATTAAACATTAAATTTCTAAAAAATAACAGTTTATAAATAATTTTACTTATACACTTAAACAAAACAACTTAAAATAACAGGAACTGGCAGTTCGACCAAGTCACCTTTTACGCATTTTTTTTTCGATGGTATGGTACAAATAAAATTACTGAAGGTGTAAATACCCTACAATAAAAAAAAACGGCGTCAAAGGTGATGTGGAGGTAAAGATTGCTGATATTTTATAAGTAAACTTATACAGGGTGCTACAAATTCGAGGTACGAGCATTGGTATCTCGGTAACCGTAATAGATACGAACATGGTTAAATTGGGGCAAAGTTGCGTATTGGAATGTTCACCAAGATGACACTAAAAAAGTTTTAAAAATTTAAAGGATTGCTGAGTTTTTTGAAAAAAACTGATTTTTTTGAAAATCAAATTTATTTTTTTCTGTCGTTACTGTTTAGAAAATCAAAAAACTAATTGAACATTCTCATGGCCACTTTATTAGGGCTATCTGATAGCAAGAAATTAGCCGATAATTAGTGGGTTACAGAGGCCAACTTAATTTTTTTAAATACGGACCTGCATTTTTTATTTCAGGTTTTCAAAGAACTCGGTCTCCTGAATACAATGATATGCCACACTTTATACTTTTTTTGTTTTGGGTACCTTAACAGCAACAAAACTGTTTAATTATATTTAAAATAATTTCAAGTCCGACTCTGGTTTCTTAAATTATTTAATCTGATTATATTCATTCCAACAATATTGATCAGCGCTAATTAATATTGAATAATTCCTTATTCGAGCCAAATGGAAGATTAAAATAAGTAATATCCAGGTCAGAAATTTAAAGATATTATTAACTTTTTTTGTTGTGAATTTGAAATCTCAGTGTGCGATCTAATAACATGCATAACACACAATCGTAGTTATTATAAACAAATTAACTTCTGCAAACTAGTTTCTAATGTTCTACATGTTCGAAAGGGTTACCACCCTTCCTATTGCACAAATTTGTTTTAGTTCAATTTTATTTATAGCTCTTTGAACTTTCTTCTTATACTTCTTAATGCAGTTTGTACTCTTTATTGTAAATGTTGAGATAAATTGATTTCACGTTTACAAATGACGTCAAGTAATGTAGCCCCTTGGCGATAGGTCCAGGAACCTCGTTGGACATTATATTGCTCTACCATTTCCAGTCCATCTTTCGGGAAAATTATTTGATTCTTTATATTATACTAGCGTGTACCCGCGACTACGTTCGCGTCGAATTAATCATTTGTAATGGTGATGATAAAGCAAAGCAAGAATTTCCATTAACATACAAACTGGATAAAATTTCCTCACATTTATGTCAGCATGAGAAAAAACAATATGGCGATATTATTATATTTAGGCAGTTACTAAATATGAAGGATAGAAATCATATTGTAATATTTGAGGGGCGTTTTCACTTTCTTGGAATTTGAGATTTAAGAAACCCCTCCTTATCGAACCTCTATAACCCACAGTCAATCCGTTTGCCAAAAATCAGCTTTAAACGTCAAGCGGTTTAAGCAAAATCGTGATTACTCAATGGCCATATTTTATGAAACACCCTGTATAATTTTTTAAAAAATCTTAAAATATGTAAAACAACAGTATAAAATATACGGGTTTAAGAGTTTTTCCGAAAAACTCACCGGTTTTTAAATAAAAAATATTTTAATATTTGAGGGATAGTTTCACCCCCTTAGAATTCGAGTTTCGAAAAATCCCTTTTTATCGAACCTCTACACCCTAAAGTCAATCTGTTTTCCAAAATTCAGCTTTTTACGTCAAGCGCTTTAAACAGGATCGTGATTAATCAATGACCAGATTTTTCGAAATACCCTGTATACATTTTTAAAAAATCTTAAAATATGTAAAAAACAAAATAAAATATACGTGTTTAAGCGTTTTTTCGGAAACTTGACCGTTTTTTAAATAAAAAATATTGTAATATTTGAGGGATGGTTTGGAACCCCCTTGGAACTGGAATTTCGAAAAATCCCTTCTTATCGAACCTCTACACCCTAGAATCAACCTGTATGGCAAAATTGAGCCTCTTACGTTGAGTGGTTTGAGCAGGATCGTGATTAATCAGTATGTCAGTCACTTAAGGATTTTATATATTAGTATAGATTATATTTATATTAATTATTTTATTGCATTTGATTTTCCGTATTCAATGTTTTACCCCACGTCATTGTTAATTTTGAATGCTAATCAATATTGTAACGATGAATAGATTAAATAATTAAATATTAAAAAAAACAGAGCCGGACTTGAAATTAGTTTAAATAAATTGTGTTCAAATGTCAAAACAAAAAAATATTAATTGTGGCATATCATTGTACTCAGGAGACCGAGTTCTTTCAAAATCTGAAATAAAAAATGCAGGTCCGTATTTAAAAAAATTAAGTTGGCCTCTGTATCTCTCAAATTATCAGCAATTTGAAAATCTAAAAATACTAGAATGTGCAATTAGTTTTTTGATTTTCTAAGAAGTAACGACAGGAAAAAATAAAATTGATTTTTAAAAAAATCAGTTTTTTCCAAAAAACTCAGCAATCCTTGAAATTTTAAAAACTTTTTTGATGGCATCTTGGTGAACATCCCAATGCGCAACTTTGCCCCAATTTAACCATGTTCGTATTTATTACGGTTACCGAGATACCAATGTTCGTACCTCGAATTTGTAGCACCCTGTATAGGGAATATTATCGATCGTCATTTCTAAGCCAATTGGGCGCAATTTTTTTTCGATCAGACGGTATAATTACAATCAAAAGTTATTTATGCTGATTTAGATTTTTCCAGAAAGTAGTATTTTTTTTTTAATTACATTGTATTTAGAAAATTCGACTTGAGATGGAAATTAAATTGAATTTTCTTTATTTCTTCGATCTCTATTTACAACTGTCTCTTTCGAACGTTTTAGACCACATAAATTGGATGACCAGCAGGGTATGTCTAAAGCTTGATTTTCATGCATCCGTTGTCCGACGATACGTTGATACAATATTAATTTCATTGGTTGTATTTAAAGGCTTCAATTGGATAAGCATTTCTAACCAATTGAAGTTTTTATATTCAACCAATAAAATTAATATTGTATCATCATATCGTCGGACAACGGATGCATGAAAATCAAGCTTAAGAGTGAATTGCTATGGCAATCTTGTAAGTCACACAGATAGATAAATATTCTTCTTTAGTAACTGATTTAAATCTCAAATTTGAAGACCGATTTTAACTATCACATACTGTTTTGCTTATTTAATTAATGTCATTTTTTCTAAATACGGTGCTTTATTAGCAGAATGTTTACAAATGGAATTGATTCAGATATAAATACCAAGTCCCAACTAAAATCACTTCAAAATCAAATTTATAGCAAGACAAACTTTAAAAAGTCTGTCTTGCATTAATATATTGTTTATTCAGGTTCTTTTAACCTTTTTTTTAACTTTATCTCTTTTTTAACTGATCTTTAACAATTTTATATATAAATTTTCCATTATACTAAAATAAAATAATAAAAAAATGCACATTAATTGAAAAGTCCAGCTCCATATTCCCAAAAGTTTCTGAGGGAATATAATAACAAAACCAATTGGAATTCAAATTGCAACACCGTGTCATACATCATATTGATAACACAAATGTGTATAAGAAATTACTAGCAGAAAAATGTGTAATATACCCTTAGATTAAGAAATATACCATAACTTCTGTTTAATAAATGTATTTGCCTACCTGCAACTCTATCTCGTACAGCTACATTACCAGGAAATAATCTAGCATTTCTAAAAACTGGTCCTAAAGCTAACTGACCCAAAGGGACCTGGGGTTCTTTAACTTTGGACACTACTTTGACTTGGGTCTGTTGAAATCTTTGACTTAGGTAACTTACAAATAATGGCCTTCTTAAAAACATGGTAGCTTTGCAATAATCAGACTTCTCTTAAAAAGATAATGTAAAATAACAATAAAAAGTCAATAGCTGGACGTGACTTTCACAAATACATTTTTATTGCGTCAAAGTTTAAATTGAAAATAATATTATATTTACGTCACAATTGCGGCGCCAAGCGCTACAAAAATGCAAACACTAATCACAGGATCCTAATCGCCTACGCAAATACCTAGTTTCAGTCTACCTAGTTTCACCAGTTGTAGCTAAATTAGATACAAAATCAGGTCCTGATTGCTAATTAAAGTGGTGGAAACTATTTCAAGAATTTAAGAAAAAATATCCAAAAAATTGAGGTTACTTATATTTTTTCTGACATTCTTCAGTTCTTACCATGTTCTTACTATGGAGGGCTTAAAAAAGAGACGACACTAAAACTCACCATACCCTAGACAAGGAAAGAGAGTCTCTCTTTCCTTCTCTAAGGACAAAATACTCGGAAGCTGAACCGCGCAACCGCGGTATACGTCAAACTCAGCTGAACTTTGCCGTTGATGGACTTTGTAAACAATGGCACTTTATATCAGAGTAAATATGGCCCTATTTAAAAACAAAGTTAAAAACTCAACAGCATTCCTGTAGTTTTAAATAATACAAAAAATACCTACTAAAAGCATTTAAAGAAGATTTACAATTTGTAAATGCATTTTGGGGATCCAGCGATTCATAGAACTTTGATAATTAATATTACAGACTGGATTATTTTTAATTTGTGTTGTTTCACTTAATTTTGTGAAAAACACTATAATAAGAAGAAACGTATTATTTGCCCACTGTGTACTCTAAATATGGTAGTCTGTATATAGTTTGTGGCTGTATAGTTTGTGGAAGTTGCCGTATATTGCAACAACATTTGAAGGTAAACACCATGAAGTAAAATTGGAAATGGAAACACATAACTTTGCCTATGACTTTGACACTAAGGAAAGTTATAAACTGTGGTATAAAAAACAGAAGATCTCTCTCAAGATAAATTATGCATTCGCCAAGAAAATATAATGACTATGTGGAAAAAAACTTACAATTACTATCGTAATCATAGGTAAAATAGAAATGAAAATTTTTAGGATACATCAGCAATTGTTCTAAATGAACAGAGAAGGCCAGTAGTTCAATAAAAAGACCATATAATGAGCCATAAAAGGAAAATGGATAAGCAAGAATTATTCCCAACAAAGTGAAAGAGGTTATTGGTTTAAGGCTTTATTTCGTTTGTTTTTGGTCTTACTTAAGTAAATATGTATTGACTGTTGGTTAAGGGTTTTATATTTATTTTGTACTACTTATGCTACTAACCTGTATAATGTGGTATTGTTTATTGTTAAAATTATTGTATTGTATTGTTGTAATTACTGTATTTTCTTGACATAGAACAGCCATAAGTTTCTGATAAGAAACTGCAACATTCTAATAAAGTCTGTGATTATTAGAACTATAAATGTTTTTTTATTTCTAATATGTTACAGTAATTAAGCTAACAAATTTTCCCAAAATGTTTATTTCCCCATGAAAATGTGATTCAATTTAAGAACTGATATTTTAATAAAAGATTTGAGAGTAGAATCTACATATATAAAATGCTAATGTTTATCTGTGTCGCCTCTACTGAAGTAACGACTTGCTCTAGAAAGTTGCTATTTTTACTAAAAGATAGCTAATTGACTCTTCTAAAAACTGTCGTCGCCGGACTTTTTGTTTTTTATTTAATTAAAAAAAAATAAAAAGTATTTTTTTTCTGATGTCGTGGCGGATGCGCCAGGCTTCAACTAGTTTGAGAATAATGAGCTCTCTCCAAGTAAAGCTATGGTTCTCACTTATGCATCAAATTAGATAGTGATCATGCAATCTGCAAATGAAACAATTTCTAATTTACACCAATAATCAATGCAACTTTGACTAAAATCACTTGATGTAGGCTTTATAGGTATATTACCAAATATCAGCCAAATACATTAACCACCTTCCTTCTTTAAAATGAGCAAATAATATTACATTTCGTAACTTTAATGATATTTGTATTTTTTAAAAATATATGAATGCAGATCAATTTTTTAAATATAGCCATATTTCTAAAAATAGTCAAAAACTATAAAAACAAAATAACAACCAAAACAGTCAACTACTGTTAGCAATTTCGCATAATAAAATTATTGTCTGTGATTACTGTTCGATTCTCGATTATTCATAATGTTCAAAATTCCCGCAAAGCGCTTCTTGCCGAACAAAACCGAACTCTCCGTGTAGGATCCGAATGCTTCCGAGGTTTTGGTGAGTTTTAGCCTTGATTATAGATAGACAAAGGTTTTAGTGTCGTCTTTAAAAAAGGAGGTTTATCGGCAATGGGCATATTTGAAATTTCTGTCCCCACTTTTAAACAGGTTCCTCGGTTTGACAGTAGAGGCACTGCGATCGATAGGGATACTATATTTTCATTGTTATTATACGGTTTAAGTTTGTTTTTGCTAAAATTATAGTTAATTTGTTGAATTTTTAGCAGTATAACAATGAGCATTGTGAAAAAAAAACTATACAGTAGAAATAGCTGGGTATCTGCCTGTAGAAGTGGATATTTCAATGAAAAAAAAGCGAAGAAAGAAAAGTAACCCAAGATTTTTCAAAGCTCCTAATGTAAGTAATATGATTATTTATTTAAAAAAAATTATGATAGATGTTAAGAAAAACATTAAAATTATATATAATCAGTGTACAGATTTATTTAAAAATCATATTAATAGAGAATATAGCTCAAAATCGAACATCTGCATGACATAACCTAGAGAGCCTTATAATATCTACCACAGTATCTACCTTTAATATCTACTAACATGTTATTATATATGTGCTACTAGGTGTTTAAATTACCTGTTATTAAATAAGTAGGTATTAATAATATATATTAACCACCATTGCTATTAAATATTATTTGAATATTATAGAAAGTGAATATTAAATATTATTTACACTTCAAAAATGTAGTTTCAAAATAACAGCTACCTCGAATAGTGAAAAAATATTTTTTTAAATTTATTTAATAATTAGGTATATCTCTTTTACTAGGATGACTAGGATCCTAGCATCGACAAAGAAGAAAGACATCCTAACTTGCTACAGCATTGGCAAAGGGCAGTTCCCCAGACAAAATACTTCGCAGTAGTGATGTGTTTTATGCACTTTTTTAGACAAAATTAGTTGACGGAACCAAAACGGAACTATCAGTAGATAAGGGTAGATAATTTATTTTACTATTAGTAGATAATTTCTTTATTGTATATTCAGGTGTATGTTACATTTATTAAATTTAGCTATTTGGAGTTAATCAATTAATCAAAATTAAAGTTATGTATTTATATTCCTAAATAAATAAATTTAATGTTTTTCAATGCTTTCAATGTTTCCTGTAAGCCTATTTTTTAATGTAGTTTTTAGAGAAGGTTTTTTACCACGTTGAGTAAGTTCTTTCTACTTGACGACTTTTATAGCCTTTTTTCTGTAACATGTATTTCCATTTCAGTGTCCTGAGGAAGGAATAAATAAATTCCGAAAGATTGACCATTAACAAAGTGTATTAATTCTAGTCCAAACCCTTCCGACTGCAACCTCGCTAGTTCCTATATTTTTTTTCTCACTAGTCAGTCGATACTATTCATAGTAGAGATGAGCAGAAAATCGCAAACTGCGATTTAATCGCAGCGATTGTAAATTCGCAATCGCAACCTGTGATTCCTTTCCATAGCAAACTGCGACTTGCGATTGAAACATATATCTGCAGATTTTGGATTTTTAGGCAACCAATATTACACCAGTTGCGATTTGCAATCGCAGTGGGCACGCGAACGAAGAGCTGCGAACGAAAATCACAGCATTGCGATTTTCATTCGCACCGGCGTTGCATCGACACGGCACTGAGTAGCCGAACGATGAGCTGGGAACGAAAATCGCAATATTGCGATTCTCGTACGCCCCGGCCGGCGGCGGCGCGTCTTCAACACGGCAGTGGACAGGCGAACGAGGAGCTGAACGAAAATCGCAGCTCATCCCAGATCCCAGCATTGCGATTGCGATTTTTGTTGGCACCGGCACGCTAACGAAGAGTGGCGATTGCGATTTTCGTTCGCAGCTCCCAACACATCGGCCTAGACTAGATCGCAAAATCACATTCGCAATCAGGGCCCCGTAATTTTTATGAAGCGTTGGAAAATAGGCTTATATATGTTTATATACCGCATAATATATATAATTTATTAGTTTTAAATTTTGATAATAGTTTTAGATTTATAATATAATTATGGATTGAGAAGGTTAAAAAATTCTTGTTTTCGGTTATGACTACCCAACTAGCATTCATAGTGGTAGATACGTAACTGCTACTATCAAAGCCACTACAAAGTGGGCGGTGACCATCGGCGGCTACGTCGTATATTCGTAGCTGCTAAGTAACTGCGACCAAAATGGGGAAAGATTTTGAGTAGCCGGGTAGTGTCTTGGGTAGTTTTTGCCACTAAAAGAGTTACTATGATGTGTTACTATAAAGTAGCCTACTGGTGAATGCTACTTATCGGTTATGAAGCTGCCTAGTCGCGGGTTCGTGGCAGCCAAGTGTTAGCCACCGACGCGACATGTGGTACAAAAAACTGTTGAACTTTACTCCCAGCGACCTCTTCATGCAATTTCACATTTCATAAAAATAAATGTCATGATGGAAAATAATTATGGAAGCCATTATTATTTTTTCGTTATTTGTTACTTACCGTGCGATTTTAACGCCTTTTTTAGGTAAATTCCAGCACGCAATCAACTTTACTGAATAAAATAGTGGGTTTATATAACAAAATTTTCGAGCGCCTCTCAAAATATTTCAAATTATTATATTATTTGCAATAGAAACTCATGTTTGTAATTAAAAAATAATAATAATTTGTTTGAAACCGGGGTCAAACTTTAAAATATTAGTCCACCGTCAGAAATAACAAAATAACTAAGGAAAAAGCTTTAATCTAGGTATATTTAGCTTAAAAACGCATAATGTTTGAGCCATTTGGCTGTTCGTCTAAAAATTCATGAAAAAAATATGGCCGTTTAATCCGAAAAATACTTTATAGTTCCATATGCTTCCATAAAGTGCCGGGAACAATAACATATTAGGCCAACCCTACCCGTTTGGACCTTTAAAATCTTCGAATTGATAAAGTGACAATTGTAGCTATCCAAAGGCGACTTTATAGAAACAATAACTTTTTTGGAACTACATGGTCAATGATTCTTTGGAACCATAAAGTGATTTTTCCAAGAAAGTTCCCTGCGCCACCAAATTGCCACTTAATTGGAGGGTTGCTACACCGATCGCGGTGGTGGCGACTGTACATTCCATTGGTGCCTCTATAACGTTCCGCCTTGTTCTTTGAAGTTATTTTTTACTTATTCTGCATTTTCTATTATTAGTGTTTCTATATTATTCAGAGCTACATGAGGTATAGAGTATTTTAAGGCCCACTCTTTAAGCTCTTGTTTTATATTGTTGTTGGTTCTCAAATTAGTTCTCCTCTGAGATTCAGTTTCAGATGAACTAACACTACACTCATCTACAGAAACAGCTTCAAAAATGTCTCAGTCACTACCTGATTTATGATGTTCATCAGTAAGATTATAGAAAGATGTAGTTTCCGACGTTGATGCATCGGCTCGCAGTTATTCCTTTTGTATAATTCTTCGGTAGAAAGTACTAGAATATCTAAATTTCTTTTTATTCACATTAGGGATTTTACAACATTTTAATAAAGCTTAAAAGCAAGTAAAAGAAAACACTAAAACAGAGCAGCACACGATGCAATCTGAGGCAATTACAGTTATTAGGGTATATTAAGTTAGGGTCACTATAAAGTAGCCGTTTTTGACCCCCGTGACTTTTTAGTGGCAACGGATGAGCGACCGCTACTTTATAGTAACCTAGGAAGGTAGCAGTAACCATTTTGCTACTTTCAATGCTACTATAAATTAGAAGTAACTAGGTGTCGTGGCCGCGACTACCCCGTAACTTAAATTGTTACTATCAAGTAACAAAAACTTAATGGAGGTATTATGGTAGCACTTGTTGGTAACCCCTACTTTGAAAAGTTACTATAAAGTTTTTGGTCTTTTATGGTGTCATATTCGAAGATTCGGGTAGTTCCAGCCACTTCTTTAAATTACATGTTTGCGACTTGCAATCGGGGTGTTTATTTTCCACTTTTATGGTAGGTAGGGACTAATCGGTCACTCTCGAAATATACTTCAAAGTGACTATTCCTTATAGAGTAACATTTTAAGTGGCAGAGTGGGCCTAGGAACTATACTTTAGCGGCAGTGACATTTTAAAAAGGACTGTGAACTATATTTGCTAGTTGGGTAATTATAGTTACAGTTGCTCCCAGGTAATGATTCAGGTAAAATGATTCATAAAGAC